ATGTTGTCAAGCTCTGGACACTTGTAACATGGAAGATTTCGCCCAATTTATAGTGAGATTTATGCGATACCTCTATACCTTGGAGATTGTAGATTATGGACGAAAATGAAACATTTGAATTGGTCATCCGATATGGATCATAACTTGAGAATACCTGTATAAGCGAAAACTTTGTTAGGTTCTTCCACTGTAGGATTTTTGAGTTGACATCATATATCGATAAGTGAAAACTAATCCACCAAGTTCTGAAACAATGTTTCTTGTGAGCCTCGAAAATTGCAATCGTGTGTTTAGCATGAAAATATGGTACTCCCCAAGCCTTAGGTGCCAGTTTTACGCATCAATAGTCTCGATGCTGATATTCAGAAGCAAATCCTCTAACGTTTGAAACAAGCCAGACACAGTTTCAGCATACGGACTAAAAGAAATTTCAAAAGTAACATCGACAGCATATCCATCTAGTGTGGAGTATGAATTACCAACTTGATTCAGTTTCTTGGTATGTTGACGTTCCGACAAAATTTCTACCTGATATTGAAGCAACGATTTCAGGTTCGATTTAACATTGTTTTAAAACACCCTTCTCCATAATGTAATTTCATGAAACAAGGCTTATCTATGAAGGTTACGACTTGAGCCAAATACTGATTTGTGATAATGATATGACTGTTTGGGGAAATTGTGACTTACTTAACGCATTAGGCCAACAGATCCATTTAGCGTCTCAGCCAACACAATAAGAGCGATAAAATACATGTCGGTTGGCACGAGTTTGTTAATGGATAAAAGACCGTATTCCATAAGATGGTAGTGACTCATCGAATATCTATGGAAAAGTTGTAAAATGACGATTTCTAGTGTACTGCTGTTATTGTAGTGTTTTCAACTTTTGCCACATAGTTTGGATTCCAGGTATTCTTGGCCATTGTTTGTGTTATTTCTAATTGCGTGAAAGTGTACCACACTGACGACCTTGGAAGGCTTATGAGCTAATAAGAAAACCATACTTAGTTATAAAACTGTTATTGATGCGGAGCAACTAAACAATAATAAAATCACTGTTTGAAGTATTAACCCTCATACATCGAGTCATTTCTCGTAGTTAAGTACAAAGGCTAAGTAAATGTGTCGGGAGCCGGGCCATTGTTGTTAGTCATGATATTCACCTCATAATGATTTTTATAAACTAACTTCATTTTTATCCAAAATACAAAAGCGTTAGTTATCAAGGGTCGAGCTGAGTCAAGTTTACAAAAACAATCAGAATTTTCAGCGCAAACTGACACCAGTTATGGCTCGGTGCTTCATATCTCTTATATCCTGAAGCTTAGTATACCTGAGATTAGGTTTCAAAGCAAGAATTCTAAGGAGAGAATATTACCTAGCTTCACTTAACACTCTCAAAGTCCCATTGAATTACATCAAGTAATTGAAAAAATAATCTAACTTATGAGCAGGTAGTTTCTGTCATTAAACTAGATTAATTTTTGAACTCCACTTTTCGGTTCATAGGAGACATTTTCATCGGTCACACGTACATTAGGTATCAACTATTGATAATTTTCATTTCGTCAATAATAACAAACAGGTAATAATTATGTAGCTTTTTACATATATACCCGGAAAGCTCTTTTTGTACTAAGGCAGTATGCAGTTTAGGATTGATGGGGATGGTTGTAAAATACAAGGACAAAAGGAAAATTGAAACAGGAATCGAACATGAGCACACAATGCACTTGCATTTAATAAGGAAGAAGCAATCATCAGCAACAACATAGGTGTCGTATTAGAACAACGGTGTTGTCAATACTCGAAACTCATCGTTTGACCCACAACATTTTGCACCTTGAATTTCACTCGATATACATTTTACTCTGTCTCGGCTCTGATTGACCAACTCAACGCCGTCAGTAAACTATACTGCATATTGATTTATCTTGCTTCCTATATAACTGCAATCGAATTTTGTGAGTTCACTGAATCATCAACTAGCGTTTTACTTTGTTAATTTTATGTGCAGTCCGCATCGCACGCGCTCAACTGACACAGTAATTACCTTCAGAGAAAACAAAATCCGCTAAATTATAATATTGATAATATGATAATTATTTCAGCTGCAAACATTCCCCATCTCAAAACTCTCAAAGTATTGGGAATGTAGCTGTGAATATATCCCGAGAATAAACAGTTCTGTAAGTCTTCGACATTGATGCTGATGTCATCTGTTTCGCTGGACACGTTCTAGTTAAAGGTGCACAGACACTCATCCGCACCGGATTGCGTGTAGCTATTCCGTGTCAATCACCTGTTGCGACCACTATCAAAGTTAGATTAAATGCTTTTCAACACATCACAACCTGTCAAATTCATCTTCGAACTCAATAGTTCCTGACTGAGTTGGTATCATTATATTATAAAGATGTTACGAACAAGAGACTTGTCAAACTTTGAATATATGTGGCACCGTTTGAGGCATTTTTGATAGTCAACAGCAAGAGAACAGCGGAGTGAATTATCACGACAGAACAGTATTCTATATTATATAACAACATGTCTATTAAACAGGGAAGTATTGTTGACAATAAGCATTTGAAAAAGTTTAGGCAACAATCCTTTGTTTTCGATCCTCCTCACTGTTTATTTTTGATGGTTCGGAGGTTTGTTTTTCATATCAGTATGTCTCACGAATTTCTGTGCACAATTTTTTGTAGTCATGATTACAAGACTGACTACTAGAAAATCCTAGAAGTAAATAACAACGATGCTTAACTCCCCTCTACAAAGAATTAGGAAAAAAACTCGGGTAATCCAAAAGCCTTTTTTTTACATAGACTTGGGATTCAAGGAATAGTGTGTTCTCTACATTTCCTAGAGAACGTTGAGGATTGAAGCTCCGACGCGCTATTTCATTCTTCTGCGGAACATATCAAAAATTCGGACTGTAATGTGTCTATACTAAAAGTTAGTATTTACGTTAATAATTCTGTGTTCTACTCTAAATAGTTCCATAATGTAGACTGTACTTAAAATTTCAGAGAGTAACATAATTTTGTACTTGGTATTTTGTAAAGTGTTAATATAGGGGTTTCCATGGAAATAAGCACATTCGTTCCTTTTACACCCTTGATATATATTCAAGTCCACTCTTTTAATCAACTGAAAATTATCATTTATTCTGTGAGTCGTCATGCTGACTTAATACACAAAAGTTTGTGATCATGATCATGCATCCGGGTGCACCCGGATTTAAATGTAGATGATCAGAAATTTTTTTGAAACAATTGTTTCTTGCCATAGCAAAACATCAAATCGATTACCATGGTTGTCAGTTTGACCTTTCTTAAACGACTTGTCGTTAAATGTCCTCTGCACACAACACAATGTATTATGTTATGATCATAACATGGGTTGGCGGGCATGCTTCTTTAAACATTTCTACCATTACCTATCAAAATTTACATGTTGGGCTTGTCTTATTCCCGATGGGTTATTCATGCAACAACCCTACCCGGCTTTTCAATTTTCGGAAACCAGTTCAGTTTGTTTTGGATCTTTTCGTATCTTTAATGTTACAATCAAGTATAGTCAGCCTATTTGTGCTCTATCACCACCAAAATCTTATATCAGAAATGACTTTCGAGGAAAGAATATTCCTTCCAAAATATCTTCAATCAAAATTTAACTATAGTTAGGGTCTATAAACGTAATTAATCTATTTTAAATCTAGGGATACTGAACGTGCAGATGAGTCACAAATTACTTCAAATAGTTTTAAAGTTATATCTTTTCGAAAGTTTGTGTGAGGTTATTTAGTTACTGTTTTGTGAATCACAAGAAATTCCCAGATGGATTCGAAGTCTACCCAATATGGGACCTATACTTGTTGATATGAAAGTATAAATACCAGCTTGAATTGATGGCTAGCATACTTTGAGTTTCGAAAACGTTACTTCAAAGTGCGTTCACAACTCAATTAGCATTGCTTCTAGCAGCAATTTGTGTTACACTTGCTATTTCAGATATCATGTCGTAACAAATGTTTAATTACAGCCTGCCGTCTTGAGAATGAGTTCACTATCTCGAGTGAAGCATGAAATTTTAACAAATTTGATTTTATAACTGTCGTGAATGATAGTGGGATATATAAAGTATTTCTAGATTTAGAGTAAGCTGATTAGACTTATAGATTTTAACTACAGTTAAAGATTGATTGGTGTTAATGATAATTAAAGCAGATATATCCTCGAAAATTGTCTCCATGTATGAGGATTTGTTGATCTTATGTTATTCTAATACGTCGGGTATACTTGGTGGTTTTTTCGGGAAAAGCTGTGATTTAGAATCTTAATGAGGATCGACCTTGTAATTTTAGTGGAGCTTTTCAGGAATCAATTGCTCTGCTGTGTAAAGTCTAAATAAATGTTTGGAGGAGAATTTAGAACTCATGATGTTTGAGAAATGTAATATTCCTTTGTTAATAGACTCAGTTCCTTTATCAGGCTCTGAACGTCTCTTTGAAAGATATAATTATTTGAAAAAGAAACAATCATACTTAACTGCTTAATTAGAAATATATGCTCCACGTTTAAGTGGACCATACGAAATTTAAAACGCAACTCCATGGAGTCTCATTCGGGGTCTAATGTCTTCAGCTTCATCAACCTCTTAATTGCCAGTCGTTTAAATAGTTTTATGGCTTGAATGTATGTTTTTGTGTTTCGTTGTTGATCAAACTTTCAGATAAATGTCATTTCGCACACGTCAATATGGTTTGTCTTTTATGTTGTACAAATGTTAGAGGTTGACTTTCCCAAAATTCAAACATCCTTGTTATTCGATATAAATACATTTCTATGCTTAAGGTGATAATTCACTTGTTTTCTTGTTAAAGGTCACTGTACTAGCCAAGAGAAATTTCTTCCATGCCCACATAGCGAACGCCGAAGTAATACAAAACAAATCAGGATTTTGTCACCTGATTTCAGTTTTGAGCCAGTGCAATGGACATTTCCAACATTATTCGGAGTGTATTCATTCGGATCTTCTTGGCTTTCCTTATATTGTCTGTCATCATGAAAGTTGTTAAGGAAAAAGTGTATGTTTCCTATTTAAGTAAAATAATTGGCTTTAAAATATAGCATTTTATGGTTGTATGGCCAAAATGCTGATTCAGGAATGTCTGTATTGACAAGAGGATATATGATCTCTGATGTATCAACTAAAAGATTGAGAAACAGTTCTGTGATAACTAGCTTTCAGCCGTCTAGCAGTAATATGTGTGGTGAGAGTTGATTACCATTTGACTGACAACTTTAGGTGATCCAATTCGAGTAACTGTTTCTAGCATTAAAGCTGTCGAGCTTTGTGTCTTGCGTGATGTTTCATTGTCTTCTTTCCATGCCATATTGACTAGTGACCACAAAAACCTTAGAGATTATATTGTTACTAATGCTACCGAAAGACATACTGTAAAGTAAGTCCTTGTTGCTTATAATAATTCGATCTTAGACCTGGAAGTCAAGACATATTCATACAAGCGAACGTTCAGTCTTGCCCTGATCATTCGAAACGAGATAAATATTCGATTGTTATTGGTATACTTTCAAGTACTCCAGATTCACTAGATGAGGAAATAGTAAGTTTAAAAATTCGAATGTAAACTATGTAGGGCTTAACAGATGAACTAATGTTAACCATAGTAAGAAAGTGAATTCTTTGAACAGTTCTTTCTTCAGATAGTGTTTTTAAAATAACAATGTTTTTTCCGTTTCAACAATGCATATTGATTAGCGTTCAACTTATGACTGTCAGCATTATGGACATCACTTCAAATCCCAATGTGACCAAATACAATAGATGGATGCTATTCTTTTCCGGATAAATTCATTTGTAATAGTCTTTATTTCATCCCAGGTTATTGGCTAGTAGCTCATGTTAAAGTGAGATCGGCAGCTGTTTACTACTAGTCAAACAATAATGTGCTTCTAATTATTCAATTACTTATAAACCTTATCTACTCTTTGTTAAACCATTACTAATTACTGTCTGAAGTTAGCTTCATCATATCTAAGCGAGCTTTCTGTATCCATTCCGAAATTTTGTTAAACACAAACCCATCAGGTGCCTATGTCGACCAACAAAAATAGATCTCTGTTTAAATTGAGCTGGCACGTACAGATTATCTGTCGTAGAGATTTAAAAAACTGGTTTCTGAACCATGTAGTACAGGCTAGATGAATGGGATATAAACGTTCTTCGGACTTCAACCACCATAATAATCTTCCTAACGTTGCTCCATTACCTTTAGAATTAAACTTCCTTATAAGACGTTTAGGGGGTCTGGAAAACCTGGATGCTCACTATTGACTGGCTTCAAGAGGTATATCCTGGAGTTTTAGTTGGAAGCAGTGACCAGTGGAGTTCAACCGGGCCAGTTATGTGATAGTAACTCGCTGATGACAATGGCGGATGTGGCGCTCGATTTCGTGGATTTGTTTAAGTTAGACATTAACACCGTTGGATGCCGGCTTAGTGGTGTAGTGGTTAAGTGTTTACGCGCTAGACTAATAGCTGTTTGGTTCAAATCTCACGAGGCGGGATCATCGATGCGCATTGCTGAAGAGTTTCACAATAGAATGAAATGGCTGTCCAGTGCTTCCAAGTTTTCCATGTTGGTCTAGCTTCAATTGACTCATGATGTCAACCATTAAAATTAAAAATATTAGTTGACTACATAATGATGTAACGGAGTACTTGTTAATGCCATTTAGGAATAACGTGACTTAATAAAAGTCAGTCGGAATTAAAACTAAGAGTTTGAAAGAATCGACAATAATGTAATAAAATGAAGATATTATTACTTTGGTAAGAAAAGATTTATCATTTTACCTGTAATCACATAAATTCACTTTAAGGCATCTGATTGCTATGAATTCAATAAATTTTAGAAGACTAAAGTTCGTTTATCTATTAGTTACTCTGACATATTGATCCCATTTGATCGTTTCAGAATATCACATGCTACATCATTCATGTAAAGATTCGAGAAGAAGAACATGTGAATACAAGTATCATGTATACATATTGGAAAACTAATTGGAATCGTCTTTTGACTCCACAGGTAAGTAATACTATATCAATATTTTGGATATATAGTTGGTCAAATCAAATCATATATTGCATAGATTAATGTTCATTCTGGGACTCGAACTCAGCACGGTTCGTTTCAAAAGACATCGCGATATTCACTTAGCTACTGAGTCCTGATAGCCACTTGCTTGTGCATTTCTGATTATAATACTTGTGAGTTAAGGTAATACGCACAGTATATACCTATGTGAAGAAGAGACTGATCAATTTCAGTCTTAAACATCAATGGGAAGATTTAAGTAATAAAAAACAATTTCAAGCAAATTTAAACTTCATCCCATTGCATAAGCATGTGGCTATCAGGAATAGTAGCTAAGTGAATAACGGGATATCGTTTGAAGCGAACGGTACTGAGTTCGAATCCCAGAGGGAACATCAACCCTGACGTCCAAGTACATCCAGCTGACGAGTCCTTAAATAGGACGAAACCCATATCATATTGGATCCTACTGCTAGCCACTATCCATCTTTGCATATTGTTATCAATTAGTTTTTCTTTCATTATTTGTATAAAATTACACTTTTCAGCTTGACTAACTGAAACATATTAAAAACTGTCTCCATTGCCAACCATAGGATACGCAATACTGACATAAAAATCGTTTACAGTCAAGTTAAGAAGAGGCAAACGTTGATATAATTGTTAGTTCATTTAACTATCGACTCTTGGATTTAATCACATTGTTGATAATCTATAATCATAGATGTTGAGTGATATTACTCAAAATCAGTGTTTGATGGCGTATATTGGTTCAATCTATATCCTTCACATTTCATTTTGTTAATTTCCATCTTAATATGTTGATATGTAGTGTAGCAATTTAGTTTGATCCACATTTTTTTACCACTTAGCTTACTTTTGACTCCTTAAGCATTTCATCTGACCACACTAAGCAACAATGCAAGCATGTTCGGGATGCGATTCTCCCCGTCGAAATGCAAAATGTTGCTTCACGATTGGGTTACACCGACATCTGAACTAATGATAGGGAGTGAAGTAGTTGAGCGTGTCGACTGCTTCACTTATCTTGGGAGTCTCATTAGCCCTTGTGGTCTGGTGTGTGACGAAATCTCAGTACAGATACAGAAAGTGCGACTCGCTTTTGCCAACCTGCGTCATTTATGGTTTAGGCGAGATATCCGTCTACCGACTAAAGAACGGATTTACTGCGCAACAGTTCGTCCTGTCTTACTTTATGGCTGTGAAACATGACCAGTATGAGTAGAGGATATTCATAGTTTACTAGTATTCGTTCATACGTGTCTTCGAAACATTGCTCTTATATCCTGGGACCATCGAGTAAGTAATGCAGTTGTTAGGAAACGGGTACTAGGTAAGGATGGCAAATCAATTTATGAAGTAATGAAACTTAATCAGTTGAGGTGGCTGGGACATGTGTTACTCATGCCCGACCACCGACTGCCCCGACGTGCGATGTTTTATGGTGTAGGAGTAGGTTGGAAGAAAGGTAGGGGAAGCCAGATCAAAACATGGCAGAAATCCATGAAGTCACTGACAAGTGGACTGAGTCATGTTGGTAGGTGTAGACTACCTGGTTGGGGACCGCGAGACGATAGCAACCGATAGTTAGAGACCTTGAATGATATGGCTCAAAATCGTTTGCAATGGCACAGGTGAATCCACTCTTTGTGTTCTCCCAAACTCTAATCTTCTGAATTCTCCATGTCCTTTATTTTCTTTCCCAATTTATTCCACTGGACTATACTCCTTGAATAACATCATCAAACCCTAATGTTCCCTATCACTACTTATACTTTCACTACCTCTACCACTATGGGATTTGAATTGATAACTGAATTTCTGTGCTAATGTGGTATGGCAACTCGAACTGATGTGCGTACGTACGAAGTTCCAGGTTGTTACTCACTGACTGACTTATGTAACGCTACCCAAAGACAGTTTTATGCTGTATATATACGTTTGACTTGTGTCTGTTGTTATCGCTCGTGCTTCTGGATTTCTTAATGGAATATAGTTCCCCCATTCGGACTTCGACTTCTCTTGCTAGTTAGCTGGGCTGGGACGCGACAGAATGACTAGTTTATTGGTCTTTAGTCATAAGTCTTTGTTCCGTTCTCAGACTAATTGTACTCGTAATCGCTTCAAACATACCAATATGGCAACTTTAACTGATGTACATACGTACGTTGTTGTTGACTGACTGTTTATTTATTATTTATTTTAACACATAGGTATTGGTACTAGGAGGCACCAAATACATATGCGCCACATAGGTCTCATTTGGTATGTGTGAGGGCTGTGATACTGGCCGGGTGCCCAAACCGAAGCAGGTGGTTTTCTTAAGGGGCCACACCCTGAGCCTTCGATCTGAAGATCTGATCCATAAGGCAGTGAAGCATTGTGAGGAGATGCAGTTTCATGATATACGGTGACGAACGATTGGTTCATATGCCATCTGTTTCTTCACGATAGTGGAGCTAGCCGATGTGCACCATTGGTTTGGGATCCGGTTATAGTGCCGGACATTCGCTTTTTGTCCTGTCGTTTTCGTAAACAACAGTAATACCACGAGAATGCAGTGAGTAGGACTTCCCTGTTAGAGGCTATATACGCCATATGAGAGCATTTTTCGAGGGAGAGCGGACTCTCCCCACTCTCAGTCGTACGTGGGCTGATGCAGTGTTATAATACAAACATTTAAATCGAGTTGTAATCATTGTTTCTCGATTTCATTGTAATAATATACGCTCAACTAAACAATGAACTGATAATCTTTCCATAATGTCTTATCTTAGATTATAAAAAAGTACTATATGACTGTTCTGTTCTGTTCTGTTTTGTTTTGTTTGTTTTCATCTCTTTCAAATAGATTCTTTATGATGCTTGTGAAAATATGAATACAATTGATGAAACTATTAATTTATCATTGACGAAATCAATTCCATCTTATATAAATAATGATAAATTTAATGCAATATGGAAACCATGTTGTTTTATATGTCTTTCATTAGAAACTATATCTAATCTACGTGTATTATTACCATGTCGACATGCAGTAATTTGTTCAAATTGTTTTAAATCATTATATAAATCAACAATATTTACAGTAAATTATCATTTAATTGGATTTATTACATGTCCAATATGTCGTACACCTATTCATTCAACATTATTATTACCTAAACTAAATGATATAAATGAATTCAATAATGAGAATACTAATAACTTGTGAATTATAATTAGGTATAAGATCTTTTACTAAATGATATAATGTATTCATAACTAGTGTATAATAATATTTGATAATCATTGTATTGTCTTGATTTTATTGATTTTTTGTTTTTACACAAGGATTGTTTTCATAAATTTCCTATTCATGTAAAGTTAACGTATGTAGGCCCCCAAATGCCCTGGTACGGCCGAGAGTGGGGAGAGTCCGCTCTCCCTCTCGAAATGCTCTCACATGGCCACGCGTACATAGCCCCTGCCAGGGAAGTTCTACTCACTGCCTTCTCACAACAGGGGTGTTGTTTACAAAAATGAGAGGACGAAAACCGAATGTCCGGCGCTTTAACCGGACCCCAAACCAATGGTGCACATGGGTTGGCTCCAGTATTCTGAAGGAACAAATGGCGTATGAACCAATTGTTGGTCACCGGCTACCATGAGACTGCATCTCCTCACGATGCTCCACTGCCTTGTGGATGAGACGTTCAGGTCAAAGGCTCAGGGTGTGGCCCCCTAAGAAAACCACCTGCTTCGGTTTGGGCACCCGGTCAGTTTCACAGCCCTCACACAAATCAATTGAGATTCGTGTGGCGCATATGTATTTGGTGCCTCCTTGTACCAATATCTATGTGTTAAAATAAATAATAAATAAATAAATAAACGTACGTAGATAGTTGTAAACATTGACAATCCTTTTATGCTAATGAAAAGTGAAACTACTTATATTTTTCTCAGTAGTATATTTACTTAGATGATCATTTTTATGGGGGAAAATTGATTTTCGTTGTAGATATCTGTTTTTACCCGATATGGATTAGCTCTACCAGTTAATGGTTGGGTAGAGACTGGTATCTAACTCAGTACAATGGAAAATGGTGGCGAAATTTCGTGAATTGGTTGAGGTTAGACATTAACACTGTTGGGATAACGGCTTATTGGTCTAGTAGGTTAAGCGTTCTCGCGCAAGATTGAAAGCTCTGGGTTCGAATCTGATGAACGGGATCGTGGATGTTCAGTGCTGAGGAGTCCCACAATAGGACAAAACGGTCGTCCAGTTCTACGTTTTTAATGATGATCTAACATCAATCATTTACCATTAAGCTATCTTGGCCGCGATTGACCTCCTATAGGACCTGAATAATTTAATGGTAACGTCTCTAACTGTGAACCTGGGTGACACGAGACCCAATTCCTCAGCGAGCATTAGTTCCTACATGATTACAGCTACACCTTCTTGACGAATACTAAATAGCCCAAAAGGTGGATTTAGGTTTTCATGTCGGCTACTTCCAAACACCACGCGTTATTGAGCCATTTAGACCAATAGCCAGATTGCAACTTGGTCAATAGAATTTAATCTGCACCAAGAAGTGCCTGACGCACATAACTTTGATTACTACTGAGTGATCAATTAATTATAAGTAATGGTATGTGACAGCAATCCATAAATAAACTATACAGTTTAGTTGGTATATTCTTGATTCTAACTTGAAATGCATTTTATGCCGTATTTCTTAGTCTAAGTTTAATAACGGATCAAGCTTTTTATCTGACTATCCGATATTGTTCATTTTTATCAACGCCCAAATTTCATAAAGCATGAAAATCTACTTATATAAGTTAAAATCAGTAGAATATTTGCTTTAATTTGAAATTAATTATGAAATATCCAGTCAAACTAACTGAACAACTTATAATAGGTTTATTGGAATCAAGAGTTTTCACAATGTTTTGACACTTTTACTATACTACTTAATCAGTAGTATAATTTTGTATCGAAAAATAATCTAAAAAGAGCATGAGAACAAAAACTGGTTAAAGTTTTCATGCATCGATCTGTCTTGAGTTGAGTTCCTTAATATTATGACTAAAATTCATCAAGTAACAGATCTTTAGATAGCGATTCTTTACAGTTTAAGATGAACGCATAAAAACTACTATGAAAGCTTTTGATTGAGATTATGAACAAATTGATGTTAAGATCATGCTTGAAAATCAGAAAGCATCGGACGGCTGTTCCGTCCTGTAGTGTAGCTTTTCAACAGTGCGCATCCACGATCCCACTCGTAGGACTCAAACTCAGGGCTTTCATTCTCGCGTGTGAACGTTTAATCTCTAGACCACTGAGCTGACATCCGACGATGTTAATGTTTAACCTCAACCAATCTCACTATGAAAACAGTGTAAATATTGAGTTCGTATTTGGTAATAATCAATCAACTATGTGAATTGATTAATACTCAATCAGAAGGTATTCTTATTAATAAATTACACTTGAGATGATTCAATTAATCAATGCTTCAATCGGGAAGCTTGTATTTTTTTTTCCAAGTATTTTGATTATGATTCTCCATTATAATCAGGATTTGAACCTTCTCCTATTTATAACACTGTACAATTACTAAGTAATTCTTTAGATAAGCATAGTCATTATTGGAGTTTAAGTTCACAAAAGAACACAAGATCAGATGAAAATTCATTTCCCGTTCCCAACTATATGATCACAATTTCGATAATGGCATAATCATACTGGTCTAGATTGATTCAGAGCATTGCCCCCAAATGCTTTGGTACGGCCGAGAGTGGGGAGAGTCCGCTCTCCCTCTCGAAATGCTCTCACATGGCCACGCGTATATAGCCCCTGACAGGGAAGTCCTACTCACTGCCTTCAAGTGGCATTACTGTTGTTTACGAAAATGAGAGGACGAAGAGCGAATGTCCGGCGCTTTAACCGGATCCCAAAATAATGGTGAACATGGGTTGGCTCCAGTATCGTGAAGGAACAAATGGCGTATGAACCAATCGTTGGTCACCGGCTACCATGGGACTGCATCTCCTTACGATGCTCCACTACCTTGTGGATCAGATCTTCAGGTCGAAGGCTCGAGGTGTGGAAAAGAAAACCACCTGGTTTGGTTTGGGCACCCAGGCAGTATCACAGCCCTCACACAAATCAATTGAGATTGGTGTGGCGCATATGTATTTGATGCCTTCTTGTACCAATATCTATGTGTTAAAATAAATAAATCGAAATGCTCTCACATGGACACACGTATACAGACAATGCCACAGATGTCTTACTCATTGCCTTCTCGTAGTGGAACTGTTGTTTACGAAATTGAGAGGACGAAAAGAGAATGTCCGGCGCTCCAACTGGGTTGATGGACACGGAGGATCTACCTAGGGGAGTTGGAAAACCCTCATTCCAAACCAATGATACACATAGGCTTGTTCCGGTATCTTGAAGGAACAAATGTTGTATGAAACAATCGTTGTTACCGTTTACTATGGGATCGCATCTCCTTACGTTGTTCCATTGCCTTATGGGTTAAACCTCTGTGTCAAAGGCTCGGGGTGTGACACCCTAAGAAAACTATCTGTCTCTGTTTCGAAACCCGGGCAGTATCATAGCCCTCACGCAAATTAATGATTTGTGTGGTGCATATATATTTGGTGCCTTCTCCTACCAATGTTTATTTGTTCAACTAAATAAATAAATTGCAAGTTAACTTTATTATAAAAACTCGATAATGTCTCAAATCTTCAATTCATGAATGACAGTACCTCAGATAATGGATGAAGGGTTGCTCAAGACCATGGATTGATTGACGGTAGATATTAACACTTTTGGATGCTAGCTCAGTAGTTTAGAGTTTGATCATTCGCGCACGAAATCGGACTTCCTGAGTTCGTGTCCCTTTGATGCGGAGTCGTGGACACACAGTGATGAACAGTCCCATACAAGGACGAAAGAACCATCCAGTATTCCTAAGTTTTCAATGGTAATCTATCTTAGATCGACTTGTTATTTCACCTGTGAAAAGACATAGTTGTTTAATACAAGCCAGATATAAATCAAGTGAATTTTAAATGTTAAATAATCATCATACCATACCAAATATCTATTGATCAATTCAAATTTCTCTAATTAAGACAATGTGAGGATGACCGACAAGTGAACTTAAGGAAGCTCTAAAAAGATCAGAAAGGGTCGAAGACATTCCATCCACTCCTATTTTGAAAGAATATTCCAGAACCTCGATGTATAACTTCGTTATTAGACAAACCACTGTATACGGATTGGATAACTAAATTGATGATTTTGTTTATAATAAAAACTATAAATACCTGAGAGTATTGTACTATATTTATTTTATTTATTTATTTTAACACATAGATATTGGTACAAGGAGGCACCAAATACATATGTGCCACACAAATCTCAAGGGCTGTGATACTGCCTGGGTGCCCAAACCAAAGCAGGTGGTTTTCTTAGGTAGCTACACTCCGAGCCTTCGACCTAAACGTCTGACTCACATGGGTAGTGGAGAATCGTTAGGAGATACAGTCTCATGGTAGCCGGTGACCAACGATTGGTTCATACGCCATTTGTTCCCTCAGGATACTGGAACCAACCCATGTGCACCATTGGTTTGAGATCCGGTTATGGCGTCGGGCATTCGCTTTTCGTCCTCTTATTTTCGTAAAGAACAGTAATGCCACTTGAAGGCAGTGAGTAGGACTTCCCTAGTTGAGGCTATATACGCGTGGACATATGAAAGCATTTTTCGAGGGAGAGCGGACTCTCCCCACTCTCGGCCGTACCAGGACATTTGGGGGCCATATTTGACATAGTTTTGGAATAAAATTCTTTTCACTTGTGTTCTATCTTCTCATTTACAACTTGTAGGGTTCTAGTGTTCTATTATTCAAACAGTACACCATATATCACCATGGAAAGCCAATAATGGTCTAGCTTGAATTGTCTCATGATCACAACTATTGAAATATATATTTTTTCTTAGTTATTAACGTTAAATTGGAAAAAGAAATGGTGTCTTATGTCACGTAAATAAATACACATGTACTATTAGTACACATGTTCTACTATATAGAAATGAGATATTACAATAGTAGTTTTTGTTTGAATGTGAATAGAATAACCCTTATGATTTCATTGATCAATTCATTGTATGCGATAAAGAAAATTGAATAGTAGGTTGA